TCTATCTATCTATCTATCTCTCTCTCTCTCTCTCTCTCTCTCTCTGTCTCTCTCTCTTTCTCTTTCTCACTCTCTCTCTCATTTTCACTCTCCATATTTCTTCTCTGTATCTCTCCATCACTCTCACCTCTTCTTTCCATCTCTCTCCGTCCATCTCACTCCATATTATATCTCCATCTTCCTCCATCCACTTCTGGCAATCTCTCTCTCCGTCAATCTTCATGTCTCTATAGCTCTTTCAGCTACTCTCAAACTAACTTCCCCCCCAGTCTCTTAAAGCCATTTTCCCGTTAGATAATAGAGCTAAATATATTGTAAAGGAACTTCCACTGCCACGCGTGTATAGCATCGATGCTGAAAATATCAATCTTTATCGAATTGTCTTCTGTTTGTGAAGTCATCATTCACTGTTTTAAGCACACACCTGAAACTGAGCGCACCAGCTCCGAGCAAAATTCAATAATATTTGCTCAATGGATCCCTCTCAGAGACGAATTATATAATATGATAATAATAATACCCTAGACCAGGAACTGTCATGCCTTCATCCCCCCCTCCCTGTTCCCTCTCTCTCTCTCTCTCTCTATCTATCTATCTATCTATCTATCTATCTATCTATCTATCTGTCTATCTATATATCTCTATCTATCTATCTATCTCTCTCTCAAAACTTCGCTGCACAGGGGAGCACCATGGGCGCTCAAATGAAGGGCAGAACACCAATCTCGCAATAGGCGGGTGCGTGCAAAACCTTTCACTTCTCGCCCTTCCGTTGTTTGCAACAAGGACCTTACACTACATTCCTTTGGTTGCAAAGAGAGTCAAAATGGTGCGCTCCATGGTGAACCGGAATTACGTCAGAGTGCATATTATAGTCTTGGATATTTTAATACAAGTCTATGATTCCTTTGCACTTGTTGCTATAGAGGCTCCACCACAATGCACAATCAAAGAGTGGCATACGATCAAAATCTGTTCCTCATAGACAAGTCAGTCATTTCGTGGCAAATGTATTACAGAGTTGCATATTGTATAATAATATGAAAGAAAGCAAACGAGAAAAAACGGAAGAAAGATGCCCACGAGGGCTGCTCACTAATAAAATCATGAGGAAGCGACGACATTTAAGGGACATTTAAATCGACTTAAAAGCCTAGGACATCTAGCTCTCATTGCAAAAAAAAAAAAGGAAGGAAAACGAGGCACGGGTGGACTTAAGACAAGTTACATGGAAAACCTGAACAGTTAGGTGAACGGTAAAGTGGTAAAGACCAGGATAATGCGGTTTTTTAAAGAGCATCTGAGCAGAAAAACGAACCATGATCGCCGATGCGTGTTGTATGTTTGGCATAATTTGATGATGATGATGATGATGATGATGATGATGATGATGATGATGATGATGATGATAACGTATTCCTCTGCTGTTGTTGCCATAGAGACTCCACCCTTGACCGCATCACATAAGAGAAAAGTAACATAGGAATTTCAGAATCTGTTATGCCCAGATTTGTCATTAATTTTTTTTAAAATTTTAAAGCATTATAGAATTATGACTTTGAGAGTCGGGGTATGGTATAAGATCTACACCTGATAACGTGTGCTTGCTCTAACCCTGCCCTTGCTTGCCTGGCGTCTGTGGTGTAGCAGTTAGATGCTTCACCGTCGTACCTAGAAGATGTGAATCCAATTCCCGTGTGGGGAGAATTTTTATGGGATATCTCTTTTTTTTTCTGCTGGAACGACGTTGTATCCCATTCGACTCGGGCGCTTCCTAAAATGCAGGGCCGAAGCCCCCTCTTTGGTGCTTTCAATTGTGTCGTAGAGGGGTTCCAAAAAAACTGCGACCTATATTTATAACAAGATAATATGTTAATGTTATCCAAGTACACTTGGGTGTTATTAAACAATGGATGGTCGTCTTTGACAAACCAACTGCACTTAACACTCTTTCATTGGTTACTTTCTACTGAACGTTAAAAATCACGTGAAGAGAGAGACAGGGAAAATAAGACTTCAAACTTCATGTGGGCATCGAATCGAGCATGAAATACATAGAGAGACAACAACTAAGGTGGTTTGGACACGTAATGAGAATGGAGCCACAATAGCCAGCCTCTAATACCGACAAAATGCGATTCGATAGCTTTAACTTTAAGGTAACAAAAAGGAAGGCCAGGAAAAAAGGACGGATCAACCCCCAAAGGAAAAATCATGACGATCCAACCAGCAAGACACCTGGCTCACACAATTGCAGATCTACCCTCGACACCTTGGGCTAGAAGGGGACAGAAAAGATACTGATATCATTAGTTCACTCTTAATGACTTCATTTAATAAAAATGCTATGGACAGACAGCCTGTCTTTCTCAATGCATGCCTTCGAGTAATGCCCAAGCGCTGTGTTGGTTTTTGTTTGTTTGTTTGTTTGTTTGTTTGTTTGTTTGTTTGTTTGTTTGTTTGTTTGTTGTTTCTTAAGGGGATGGGGGTTGTTGCTGCTCCACCCCCCCCCCCAAAAAAAAAGAGGAAAAAGCATATAATAGTGCTCACAATCAAACACTAGTAAACTCACACAAACACACATACGTGCGTGCACACACACACACACACACACACACACACACACACACACACACACACACACAAACACACACAGGCACATATGCACGTGCGCACGCACTCACACACATATAGACACACAAACGCGCGCGCAAATAAATGATTATATGCACATCATCTCTGTCTCTGGCATCCTCTCTAAACATCTCTCTTTTTCACACCTCTCTCAATATCTTTCTCACTTTTACCCTCTCATAAAACACAAAGACACAAATACAAACTCTCACACACACACACACACACACACACACACAAAGACAGACAGACACACACACACACACATACATACACACA